AAAAAAGGGGGGGAGAGGGAAGGGTAACGAAAGTGTACGCCAAAACAATCTAAACTTGGAAACAGTAAAAAAACGAGAGATAAAATATATCCGAGACTCTTTGCTAGTTACCGTGCCAGAAATCTTGGGGAGGAAGGTAAAAGTTACATTGTTGGGTGAGGTAGAGCAGGGATTCCGAGAGATCTTTTGCTCTAGGCTGTTTTCCACCGCCTTCAATTTTAGATTGTTGTGCTGTGCAATTATTTTTATTCCGTTTTATTTTTTATTCCAGGTTTCCACTGTTTCTTCACGACACTGAGTTTTGAAACGCTCGCTGCTTGCGATGCAAGGAGTTTCTTAACTTGTCTTCGTCATCTTTGCCCATAGCTTAGTCTATTCATTTCAATAATCAGCCTGCCAGTGCTCAAGTGTCTGTTCATTAGTGTTGAGCATCGACGAGGATAAAAAAATATAGTCCATTGCTAGAAAGCTGGTGGTTGCAATGGACAAAGATAGGGTTCCCACAGATTTTGGAAAATGAAATTCCCTGACATTTCCCTGACACAATTTGGTGAAATTCCCTGACAATTGAAGATACAGCAAACGGCTAAGAAGACATAATTGAAAATAATTTTCGGGCAAAATTTGTAGTTCGAAACCTCAAACCCATATTAGAAAGCAAATAAAGAAGATTTAACAAATTTTCCCGGAAATTTTCGTCATTTTCCCTGGCATTTCCCGGTTTTCTCTGACTGTGGCAATCCTGCAAAGGAGGTTCAAAAAACGGGACCAACGGCAATCCAGGAGAGATCCTACTGTTGGTTTATAAAACCCCCTCTAGGTCTATAACAAATACCCGTTTCAACCAATCAGATCGCTTCAATTCCGCTTTTTCCCCTATGTCCATCAAATGTGTTCAACGAGATTCCTGTGCGATTCCACCGATGGAAAGTTCACTCAGTTAGCTGCGCCTCTTGCGTGCAGCGGACCCATTCGTACTAATTTCACCCATGCTCGCACGAGGAACGTATTTTCATTCCAGCGTTGCAAAATCTACTCACTAAACTATCTTTCCCATACAAAAATAACGGAGCAACGAAAGCCCACAATTTCACTGATTTTTCACAATAATTCCTGGAAGAATCTGTGAAATTTCCAGGGAAAAGCTTCTGTTAGTTGCTAAAAAAATACAAATTTTGAGCGGCAATTCGGCAACTTCGATATGGAGTCACGTTCGTAAATTATTTTACCCTCTCAAAAATGACAAAGCAGCGATCGCCCAAAATTTGGCTGATTTTTCTTGGCAATTCTCGAAAAATTCTTTGAAATTTTCAGTGAAAAGCTCTTGAAAGTTTCCTAGTAAAACATTCCGTTTTAAGTAGCAATTTGGCGACTTTGATATGAGGCTACGTCCTTTCGTTCACTGGAAAAAAACACATTCGATCCAGAGTCCAGACTCTTGAAAACATTGACAAGAAAAAATACTCTTGATTCAATCGGATTTTTGCTTGAATCGAAACGAAATCCGCTTAAATTAAGAGGCTTGGTTCTTGATTTAAGCTAGATTCTGATTGAATCAAGAGTACTTTTTCTTTTCGATGTTTTCAAGATTTCCGGTGTTAAAGGAACGACGATTTCGCCCATGCACCCTTTGCTTCCGAGTGCGAGCCGAATTTCTAAAAAACAAATAACCCGGTGACAAGGTGTGGATGATCGATTTTCGACATTTCCCCATTTGAAGCTATGGTAAAGAGTCGATCATCAGTATTCAACCTCCAGAGTTCAAACGCCAGACCAATCGATATGTCGCAGGCAAATACTAAAAAAAGGCGTTTTGTCAAATGCCTCGGCAAATAGTCAAATATTCTAACTCAGATTGAAATTCTGATTCTTTTCCTAATTTCAGACAAAATAATTTATTGCTCCTGCAAGAAAAAATGCTCAGTAGAAATTTGCGCACACAATAATATTTTAAACAATGTCTAGCTCCTGAAGAGACACTGATCTTGAAAATTTCAGCATGTCAGAGAACACAGCATTTTTAGAATTTCAACATTTAAAAAAATGAGAGGCAATTGAAGACGGAGAGACAAAAAGAGTTAGTAGGTTTGATGATTTATTTTTCCAAGAATAGTGAAAAATCCTGAACTCTTCGCCACAAATTCACAAAATTTTGTAGACCGTCAAATTTTGACTATCTGCCTAGGCATTTGACAGAATGTCTGAGTTTCACTATTTGCCTGCGACAGATATATCGCAAAGCGCGCCAAGCCGGCGTGAATGATCGATTTCCGATACTTCCCCATAGGATAAAGAATCGATTATTAAGGCGTTCGTTACGAACACCCTATTTATCGATCCTTTCCCATAGGTTTAAATGGCATAACAATCGATACATCGCATTTCACACCACGCCGCTGGAACTCCGTCCCGGAGCGGAACGTGACTCGGAGCGAATATTACGCAATCCGGCGGAGCGGCAACGAAGAGGCCGAAAAACGGAGGGGCGCGCGGTCGAGGGGGCGGGGCGGGGGTGCGGTGGGAGGGGCGCCGGGACCCGCGGTTCCGGGTTAACGACCCCTTCTTTTCCACGTGCATCGACTGAGTACCCCCCCCGCCCGCCCCCCGCCCAGGCGCCCTTTTCCGGGCCGAGCACGCGCCTCCCCGCGCCGCGCCAGCCGAGCGCCTTCCAATTTGCGGTTATGCCTCCCGCGCTGCACCCGGATGCTCTGCGCGAGAATGTCGCGGCCCCCGGGGGCGGGTGGAGGGGGGGTGCGGTTGCGTTCGGCGCTCGACAATCGTCTTGTTTAAAATGAATCGGAATGGGGTCTCGGCGAGGATTTGCGGTTCGGATCCTATGGAGAGTTTCGCGGGGAAAAAGATGCGGCTGCGAATCGAAGCCCGAGCTCGTCGCTTGGCTGACACAACGGCGTAACTACATGTGAAGATGAGCCTGGGAAATCGTTGAGTTGTATGGACGACAGGGGTCATCGCCAGATGTGGTTACGTCCTTGTGTCAGGAAGGCGACGATCTGTGACCCGGAAAAAGAGACCCAAGCCTAAGCACACAAAGGCAAAATCGGATCGCGTTTAGCAAAAAGGAACCAGCGCGATTACAGCGTTTTCAGAATCGTGCAACTTATCTTCTTTCCTTTTAAAAATACTCAATATAACTACAATATTAAAATGTACACGATTGTTTTCCTTTAAAATTAACAATTTTTTGGTAGGAAGCGCCAACTACACTTGGGAAAAAAACACATTGGATCTGCAGTCCGGACTCTTGAAAACATCGACAAGAAAAAGTACTCTTGATTCAATCAGAATCTAGCTTAAATCAAGAACCAAGGCTCTTAATTTAAGCGGATTTCGTTTTGATTCAAGCAAAAATCCGATTGAATCAAGAGTATTTTTTCTTGTCAATATTTTCAAGAGTCTGGACTCTAGATCAAATGTGTTTTTTTTTCCAGTGTATTTGCTATTTAGAGAGATTTTTCCGATAATTATGAAGAAACAACATTTTTACAACACTGCAACTGCGCTGGTTCCTTTTTGCTGAATGCTATCCAATTTTCAAAATCGTGCAAGTTCATCTTTCCTTTTACAAATACTCAATGTAAGTACAGTATTAAAATGTACACGATTATTTTCCTTTAAAATTAACAATTTTTTGGTAGGAAGCGACAGCTATTTAGCTACTTGCTATTTAGAGAGATTATTCCGATAATTAGGAAGAAGCAACATTTTCACAACACTGCAATTCTGGAATTAATACTGGAAGTAGAAATGCGGCACTTCAGCAGATCCTATTATTATTTGCGAATCAATGTGCTAGAACAATTGAAAAACAATTCTGAAACCAGTGCAACTAGACTATTCGTTGTTTCGACCTTTTGAAGACTGAAAATATCCTATTATTTGGACGTATTTCTGCCGAACGGAACTATGTGCATTTTGACGTGAGCCCTGCTATGCATGCATTCTTGTGGGTCTCATGGCTCATGTCTTAATGCACATAGTTCCGTTGGATAGAAATACGTCTATTTTACATTCAAAAAGTGGAAAGAAAACGGGAAAATTTTGTGTTCCGAAAATGGCAGATTGAGATTTTAGATAATAACTCACTTTCGCCAAAATTTTCCTTTACGGGGTATCGCTCCTTAGCCATCAACGTAAGTATACAAAGTTGAACAATTATTTGATTGAGCAACACTGCAGAGTTCATACGTCGTTTCAACGAAGAATGACTCGACTGAGTTAGAATATTCCAGCTCCCAGCTGAAGGAGCGCTCTCACATTAACTTACGTAATCAACTCGTAACTTGGAAGCTCTGAAATTCTTTACTCGGGCATTGCGTAACGGGAAAGTTGCGCCTTTTTTCTCCTAGTTTTACGCCTGTAAGTTTTTCTTCCATACTGATCTCGGATTACGTAAGTCGATGTAACAAGAGTTGTAAAGTTCCTTCTTTGAAATAATAAACAGTCTGTTTACGCAATGAAGAGCTGCCTTTTAAGGCTTATTCCAAGTTGTATTTGGATTTTAAGATTAGATAAAGAAGAAGTAAAAGTTACTTAATGGTGTTGTCACTTCAATCATTATTTTAACATTGGGTAGTGTATATCAAACGGAGAATAAATCCCAAAATGCAGCTTTTTTTCTTTACCTATAATGATCAACCGGTAAATTTGAGAGAAATTGTTAAAGTTGAGTGTTACCCAATTCGCCGTCATAAAGTATGTATTTTTGAGGAAATTTCTGCATATTTTCCCCTAAAATTACATTTGCTTCAGGTTAATTTAAGAATAAAGCTCTCCGGAAAATTAGAGGGAAAATATTCACAAGTTTCCTTAAAAATATGTATTTTATTAAAGAGAATTGAGCAACAACTAGAGGCAAGGGTGAAATTCCCTGAAAACTTGGTTTTAATCTAAAACTCAAACGTCTTGAAAATGGATTTCAGCGTTCAAAAATTTCTGAGAATATAAAAGTACGAGGTAAAAATACGACAAAGCTAACTCACCACTACGAGGATTGTTTGAAGATCGATTACGGTAATATTTCTTAGAACAATCATCATTACCTGCAACAGAAACAAGTCGTTTTCAAACACAAAATGCATAATAAACTCATGACATATTCACAAGGAGTTATTTCACGAGTAAATCTGCTAGATTTTACTCGAAGTTTGCAAAAATTGTCCTTTTCTTACTCTCATGATAGCGTGGGATATCCCCTCCATTTTGGCCTTGACTTGAGAGCTTTTTTTGAGCTTGGGAGATGACTTCAGAGAAAACCAGTGGCACCATCGTGTTTCTCGCGAACTTTTACATAATAATCAATTGTCAAATCACAAATTCTTCACACATCGACGGTGAAACTACCAAACCACGTATCTCGGTTTGCGACGTCGCAGACTTCCTGTCATACTTTATTTTTTAAATGAAAAACTACTTAACATCCAGTCTTGAAAATTTCTGTGATTTTTCCTCTTTGTGCGGAGAAAATTCTGTGAAAATTTCCAGGAATGATATTGATTTGGTCTACTTCAAAAAAATAAAATGTGAGCGTAGATTTTTAAACACCGCAAACGAGATATGCTTGCGACGAGATATGCTCAGAGATGCTTGCAATGTGCAAGATGTAGCCAAGTGGACTAGGATGAGGAGAAAGATGTGGTCGGAGCACGTTGACAGAATGGATGAAGAGAGACTGGCAAAAGTTTGTATGACTGGACAACCCATAGGGAAAAGACTGCCTGGACGACCGCCTAAGAGATGGGCACACAAAGCTGGCTCTCTTCTCCTGAAGATGATTGAATGTTCCTGTTGCTATTTGTTTTATTGACTTGACGAATCTTTACAGATAATTATTATATTTTTAATATTTTGTGCTCGGCACTCGAAGGCTTGCTAAAAACAGGGCCATGCCCTAGTCGTTAGTAGAAGAAGAAGAAGAGCAAACGAGATACGTGGTTTGGTAGTTTCACCGTCGACATGCAACATCTCCATTCTGCAACGTCGCAAATGGAGATAGGTGGTTATGCACTTTGGGCATCGATATGCTCCTGGGCCGATTCGCCGGTGCAAAGTGGGAAGTTGGGGGAGGAGGAGGCGGGGGGTGCCGGGAAAACCGATCGGAGCATCCATCATTCATCACGAGGCGGAAGCTGCGAGGGTGGAGCGGGGAGCGGGGAGCGGGGAGGGGGGAGGGGAAGGTGCAGTCGGCGGAAAACCGGGAAACTGTGCAATGATTTATGAGTGTCTGTGCCGCGGCGCGGTGGGCCCTTCTGCCGTGGCGCGCCCATCGCATCCACGAGGGTAGCCCGGGAAATTCGGGCCTTTTCCCGGCTGCGGCAACCGTTTAGAGCAATTCATTACACCCCCCCCCCCCCCCGTTCGCCCCTCCCCCCTCCGCGGGTCATTACCCGTGCTGGTGCCACGGGGCTGCCACGTGGGGGAGGTTTTTGGTGAGGTCCAGGGTCACCATACTTTCTTCATCTTCGAAATTCCCGATTTTTCCCTGACTCCGAAATTTTGTAGTTCCCTGACTTTTCCTGACCGTCAAACAAGATTTCCACATAAAAAAAAAAAAAACCAGGGTTGCCACAGAATTTAGGAAATGAAATTCCCTGACATTTCCCTGATTTCCCTGACACATTTTGGTGAAATTCCCTGACAATTGAAAATGTAACGGATGGATAAGTAGGCATAATAGAAAATATGATGCGTCGCGTGAGAAACGCCTTCAAATAGGCTGGACGGCAACCGGGACATCCGGAAAGCTGGTATAGTTGCTTGCTCGCGCCTTAGCCAAACCATGTTGAGCGCGTCTTGTCTTGTGGTCTCGATACATGTCTAAAAATGATGCGTCGTGAGAAACGCCTTCAAATAGGCTAGACGGCAACCGGGACATCCGGAAAGCTGGTATAGTTGCTTGCTCGCGCCTTAGCCAAACCGAGTTGACGCGCGTCTTGTCTTGTGGTCTCGATACAATCATGTCTAAAAATGATGCGTCGTGAGAAACGCCTTCAAATAGGCTGGACGGCAACCGGGACATCCGGAGAGCTGGTATAGTTGCTTGCTCGCGCCTTAGCCAAAACCGAGTCAACGCGATATGGAACGGCGCGTCTGGTCCATCACCGTGTGAGCCTGATGTTCACCAGAGTACCGGTATTTCTAGTTATTTACAACATTTTTCTCCCAAAATTTTCTACTATAATCAACTATTTATATAACCATGCAAATTTCACACTAACATTTCTGAAGACTCAAATTTTCATACTGCAAAGACTCTCACTGTAACGTTTAGTGTGCGATTTAAATCAAGCAGATAATTTGAGTGAGAAGTTTGAAGCTATGGATCGACACAAATTTGTATCTTAGTACACAGGAGTCACTTTCAGTAATTTTTCTTGCAAAAATCAACTATTTGCAGTTAGGAACTACAATATCCGGCTCATTTAAAAAAAAAAAAAAAAACAAAGCCTAAAAACACAAGGATTCCGCGGAGGTTTTCCGGAGCTTTGAATGAGTCGAGAAAAAGAGCGCTAATTGGGTATCTCCACACGAACGCGACCGGAAGCGGCGAGACAAATCTTCCTCCGACGTAAAAGCGTAACTCAATCTCCACGTGAGCTCTGTCCTCCGCACAACTCAACGCACTCCGGGGCTCATGAGGTACGCTCTTACAACGGCGACGAATCGCCAATGAGCGTGGGCGGAAAGGCCAACGCACCGCTCTCCGGGCGGGCTTAAGTAGCTAAAAGGAGGAAAAATTCGTCGCTCCTCCGACAAAAGAACGTAACTACATGAGAAGATGAGCCCGAGAAAGCATTGGGTTATATGGACGACAGGGCTCGTCGCCGAAGGTAGTTACGCGGTTATGCGCGAGAGGCGACGAATCGAGGCGCCAACCCGAGAAACGGGAAACGGGGTGGCGGAATCGTTGTTTTATGTAAATCGCAGACGGTGGAACATTCGGACGTATTTCTATCGAACGGAACTATGTGCATTATGACGTGAGCCCTGTTACGCATATATTCTTATGGGTCTCAGGGCTCATGTCTTAATGCACATAGTTCCGTTTGGCAAAAATACGTCCATTTCACATTCTCGTAAATCATCGAGCTTCTGCCGCCGATGCAGCCGCACTTTTTCGAGATACGTCGATTTTCCCCTTCGATAGCCCTCACGTCTCCTTGCGAACGTATTGAATCGAGAATCGATGTACATCGACGTTCGATTTGTCCGGAGCTGGAGTGTCATGCACCCCTTTATTTAGGCCTTTTTCGGTTTTTATTCGAGCCATTTGCGCCGTTTAGGTGGCCCTGGTTACTGCTGACGAGAGCGGTTCTGTTTCTGCGAGAAATGATGGTGGGCGAGCTACGGCCGTTGTTTCCTGCTTTGTCATTGTCTCTCCGTTCGAGTTGCCGTGATTTTAAGGGGGGGTTAACGTGTGTATTGAGCCTGAATCTTATGCCCTTATTGAGTTAAGGAAGGTTTGTTGCAGGTTTCCACACGTCTGGAAAACCGGGTGAAAAGGAATAGGTCTGGAAAACCGGGTGAAAAGGAATAGGTCTGTGGCAAACTTCAGCTAGAGAAAAAGTGCGCATTCGATCCTTTGCGTATGCAACATGGACATCCTGGGAGAACGAATAGTTGTAACAAAGCGTTTTCATTGACACCGTGCCTTCGTTCCTACTTTGAGCGTGACAATCTTTAAGTGTGGCTTTAACATCCTAAGGGTACGAATAGTTGTATCATAAGGCGTTGTCGTTGACACCGTGCCTTTGTTGCTACTCTAAGCGTGATACTATTTAAGTACGCCTTCAATTTTTTGCGTATGCAACATGGACATCCTAAGGGTACGTATAGTTGTATTACGGAGTTGTCATTGACACCGTGCCTTCGTTGGTACTTTAAGCGTGACAATCTTCGGGTGCGCCTTCAATTTTTCGTGTATGCAACACGGACATCCTAAAGGTACGTATAGTTGTATCAAGGAGTTGTCATTGACTTGGAGCGTAACGATATTTGAGCAGCCATTCATTTTTAGTGTGTCCAACGCTACTTTCTGAGCAAAAAGATATTTAATGAGCAACTCGTTGAGCAAAAAATCACAAAAAATTCGGCTAATGATGAGTCTTAAAGATGTCGAAGAGACGCACATTGCTGGGCAAGTTTATGCTGATAAGATTCGGATTGCTTAACCCGTGCGCCTGTTGCAAACTTCAGAAGAGTCGTTGCGTATATGTGGAAGGCAAAAAGTCAAATCAGGCATTTTATCAGATACCTGGGCCGGTAGTCAAATTTTGGCAGTTTACGGAATTCTGTAGATTTGTGGCGAGGAGTTCACGGGTTTTCAATATTTTGGGAAAACTTTCGGTATGGAATCGATCATTTCCGTCTTAGAAAACCTGAAAAAGTTGGGGAAATTATTTTGTCAAGACAAACTGTTGATTTCATGGGAAGGAAATACCATAGGCATTTCTTTGAGCTGCCTATCCTGTTCCCAACATCAGAGCTCAATCGCAAATTCCACCGGTCGGAGAAGCAGCCGGCGACAGAATTGAGACACAAATGCAGCTGCCAAATCTATCTCGGACACTTTCCGATTTCCCGTTGATACATCGCGTCGTCGCAGGGAACGGCAGGGAGATTAACTATTAACTCCGCACAGTTCGGCAACGTTTTACACAGTGCGTGATTACGCATGGGGTGGACCGCGAGGGGATGGGTGGGGGGGGGGGGGGGGGGGGGGCTGCGGTTGATCGTGTCATTCAATTTTCATTCGCTCAAGTTCGGAAGCTTAGCCGGGTTGCCAAATGTAGGGTTTATCGTACACAATATTAACGCTAATTTTGAGGGACTTGGAGGACAACGCGTGTGTATAAGGACAGTTTTAACTGGACTGCATTTTGCAATTTGGACCTATAAATTCTGGCTCATCTGAAAAAACTCTTGTGTGCATATGGAAACTAATGGCACATACGTTGTTTTTAAACTGGGCCGGAATTTATAGGTCCAAATTGCAAAATGCAGTCCAACTAAAACTAGTCTTGCTAAAGATCCTGTGGAACTT